ACATTGATATTTTCTAGCCATCTTTGGAAAAGAAAACTCTTACATTCTGCTGGTGGGAATGTAGATTAGTCGAGCCACTGGTAGGTCTCTGTGAGTTCAAGGCCAGCTTTGCCTACAGAGTGAGTTCCAGGACAGAGAAACCCTGTTTTGAAAAAACAAACCCAAAAGGACTAAACTGTTAAATGACAGTAACTCTTGGTATTCACCCTAAAGTCAGCGTCCCACAGATAACTAACTATATTAATTGCTGCACTATTCATAATAGTCAACAAATGATAAAACATTCCTTATAATCTGTCAGAATTTGAGCTCTAAAGAATGAAATTACATCATTTGCAGGAAAATGGATACAACCAGAGATCATACTAAGTGAATAAGTCAGACTTGGAAGATAAATACCATGTTTGTCATTTGTAGATCATAGTTTTTTTTTGTAATAGATACACAAATAATTTTTTTTAACATGTCATGAGAATAGAAGTGAAACTGAGCCAACAGAGGAGAGGACACTAACAGGAGGAAGGAAAAGGGGAGGGGATGGAACGAGAGTGGTTAAAGTACATGGTATACTCATGCGACGTGTTTGTAAACCCATTATATACATCGAATATGAACCAATAAAATATTTCCTGTTTATCTTTACACTTTCTTTTGTTTGCTTGAGTTAAGAGTGGCATGTTGGACTTGAAAATAATCTTGCCTCAACTTTCTAGGTGCAAGTGTATGTCGCCAGTCTTGGCTTTCTGTCCACCTTTGTGCTGTTACTATCAATGTATGACTTTCAAGAAGTGTTTTTCACCTTATGCCCTGATGCCACAGAACAACAGACTGTGTAGGGAATGAATTCACCCCATCTCCCTCTTCTTTCACACACACACACACACACACACACACACACACTTGTTCATAGGTAGCATAATATTTGTGCATGACCTTAGTCTATTATCTAACTCAATGTAATCATAGTTGTTTTATGGTTTTGAGCCAGGGTCTCATTGTAGTTCAAACTGGCCTCAAATTTCATGTTAAGTTTGGCCAGCTAAGACTGGCCTTGAATTCCTAGCCTTCTATCACCTCCAAGTATGAGGATTACAGGAGTGTATCATCGATGCACAGTCCTAATACAACTTGAGTGATAAATGAGTAGTTGTTTTCTAGTGTTTAGGGAGTAATGGTAAGGTGAGAGGTGTTTTTAGATATGATTTAAACATTTTTATTAAGTTTATTTGTGAATGGAGGGGCATGCACATGCCACAGCCTATGTGTAGACTTCAAAGGACAGTGATGTGGGAATTGATTCTCTTTCCACAGTGGGAATTGATTCTCTTTCCACAGTGTGGGTCCTGAAGATTGAACCCAGGTGGTTGTCAGGTTGGGCAACCAGTGCTTGACCTCCTAAGATATCATATTGGCCTGGCTGCACATATTTTGATCTATGATTAGTTGAGCTTCAAATATTTTGATCTATGAAGTTGAGTTCATGGATAGGGAACTCACCAGTTGTATTTGTATTTTTAAATAATCATAATCTCATGCTTGAAAATGAACAGTTCTTTTAATATTTACCAGCCAGTTAATGTGTACCTCTTACCTGTCAAACTCTGTTGTAGGCATTCTCAGTAAATCCAAAAATTCTTGTAGTTTAGCATTCATTGGACATAGACCTTACTAATGTTGTGAAGACTTTGACAGTATTTCCTTTCTTTTTTACTTACTTATTTTCTGTGTATTGGTGTTTTGCCTGCATGTATGTTTGTGAGGGTGTCAGAATTTGGAGTTACAGACAGTTGTGATTTGCCATGTGGGTGCTGGGAATTGAGCCCAAGTCCTCTGGAAGAGCTGTCAGTGCTCTTAATTGCTGAGCCATCTCCAGCCCCCAGTATTACCTTTCTTCATACAATATCTTCCTGTGTATTTGTTATTTTTCCGGTCATTGGACCAGCACCTCATCAATGTAACTTAAAAGAGGAAGCACCTATTTTGGCTCATAGTTCAGAAGGTAATTCTGCCCATTCTGTATTCTGTCAGGTAATTCTGTCCGGGAAGGCATGATGGCAGGATTAGTTCATGTTTATTGTAGATGGAATATGAGGTGCTTGCTCACATTTTGGTAGACCAGGAAATGGGGGGGGGGGAGAGAGATGGCCAGAAGTGGGTCTGAGCTCTAACTGCTAAGACCTGCCTCTCATAACCCATTTCCTTCCTAGGTTCTACCTTAAAGAGTACATGTCTACCTAAAAACAGCACCTCCAGCTGGAGACCAAGTGTTCAACCACATGAGCCTGTAGAGGGATTCCGTCCTCAAACCATAACATTCTCCTAGCCTGAAAGTTTTACTTGTGTCTTTTCCTCTCAATGTCTGCTCATTTTCAGTCTTTTTTTTTTTTTTTTCTCCCTTGAGACAGGGTTTCTCTGTGTCTTGGTGTCCTGGAAACTCGCTCTGTAGGCTGGCCTTGAACTCACAGATCTGCCTGCCTCTGCCTCCCAAGTGCTGGGATTAAAAGCGTGAGCCACCACAGTCTGGCCCATTTTCAATTTCCTGAGCCCTGGATGACTTGGAGATTGCTATGCTGACCAGGGTGGCCTTGAACTTGTAGTAGTTCCAGTAGTTCCCTGTCTCTGCTTCCTTTGTACTTAGATTGTAGGCATGCACTGCCATACCTTGGTGCAATATATGCTCTTGAAAAATATATCGAGGGCTGTAGCTCAGAGGTGGAGCATATTTGCCTAACATGTCTAAGGTCTTATATCTCAAAAAACGAGAAAGAAGCTGGGTAGTGGTGGCGACACATACCTTTAATCTCAGCACTTGGGAGGAAGAGGCCAACCTGGTCTAGAGTGAGTTCCAGGACAGGCTCCAAAGGAACACAGAAAGACCCTCTTGAGAAACCATGTCAATTTTATATGTGAAAATCACGTTAGTCCATATATCATTTGATTTTTTTCATTTTTGGAAAATGGGGTTGCTTAAATGAATGGATATTTAAAAGTCTGGTTTTGGGCTGGAGATGTGGCTCAGTGGTCAGAACACATGCCTAGAGCTAGAGAGATAGCTCAGCAGCTAAGAGCATTGCCTGCTCTTCCAGAGGTCCTGAGTTCAATTCCCAGCAACCACATGGTGGCTCACAACCATCTGTAATAAGATCTGGCCTGCAGACAGATATACATGCAGGCAGAACACAGAATAAATAAATAAATTAAAATACACACACACACGAGACCCTCTGTTCTATCCCCAGCACTTCAAGAAAGTAAAACAAATCAACATTTTAGGAGTTAGAGAAATGGCTCAGCAGTTAAAAAAAAAAAAAAACTCTGGTTGCTTTCCCAGAGGACCCAGGTTCAATTCCCAGCACCCACACAGCAGCTCACAACAACTGTCCAGGGGATTTGATACAGACACATAGTCATCAAGACACTAGTGCATGTGGAATAAAAATAAATAACTTTTTTTTTTTAAAAAAAAAAAGCCTGGTTTCAAATCAAAGATACTTTTGTTGTTTATTTTATTTTTGTTTTTTTGAGACAGGGTTTCTCTTGTGTAGTCCTTACTGTCCTGGAACTCATTTTGTAGA